AATGGCAGGAAGAAGAGCGTATAACCTCCAGGAGTGCCTGGAGGTTGCAACAGCCCGAGCAGCCTGCAACTTAATCGGGTAAAGGTCACAATCACTCAATTTCTTCTGTTTTCCCTGAGTCCCACTTGCATGTTGTTTCAACGAAAGAGACAAATCTATCCTTGTATAAATTGTCTCTTTTTTTCTTGTGTAGTTTTTCCCATTTTACTCATCCTTCTAGAGTAGATCTTGAGTGATTTACTTAGAGGAAGCATGTCAATAACTGAATATACACAGAAGTTTGAAGAATTAAAATTTCAAAGTCAATTAGTCCAAGATGATAGTCAAGCAACATCTCAATTTAAGACAAGACTAAGAGTTGATATTAAAAGAGAGTTAATTCAACAACCTCCTGCAACTATGGCACAAATTTATCAAGTGGTCTTTGATTTGGAAGAATATTTGAATTATCCAATCCCAAGAAATATTACGGAATCCACTCCTAAAGATACATATGAATCAAAAGGTGAACTAAAGAACGATTCAACATCAAATTTCAAACTCCTAAAGGTAAAGAAGTTGTATGCTTAAGATGTGGCTAAAGTGGGCACATGTGTTTCGAATGCGCGACAAAGAATAACTTGCATGTTGAACTAAAAGAAAAGGAAAAGGTGCAAGAAAAGGATGACGGTTAAGAATAACTTGCATGTTGAACTAACAGAAAAGGATGATGGTTAAGAATAACTTACATGTTGAACTAAAAGAAAAGGAAGAGGTGCAAGAAAAGGATGATGGTTATGTATCCAACAAGGATGATGATTTAGCCCCTAGTGAACAAACAAGTACATATCTTTTGCTAAGGTGCATATCGTTAGACTCCAAAGTGGAAGAGCAAGAAGAATCATTATGTCATCATATTGCTCAATATCTTTCCCCAAGAGTTCAACTCTTTGAAAATTTCATGCAACAAGAGATTTGACATACCAATATGTTGGTTTCATTATGTCACTAAGATTTAACATTCCTAAACAATTATACCTTTCTATTATTTTAGGTATTGGCGACAACAACCAAACACAAAGGTTTTTGAGTTTGTGGTGTAGCCCGAATATCAAGATTTTATATTGTTCACTACTTTAAAACTTGTAGATGAATTTTCTCCAACCAATAAAAAATAATGGAGAATAGATTATGTCTAAATAGATTAGAAGTTATAATTCTTTTAAATATAAAACTATTATATTATTTGGCAGTCTATATTATTGAGAAGTACTATTATAGTTTAGTCACTCACGATTTTTATTATTATTAATATTTTTCTATTTATATTAAAATTACGATTCCTAACATTATTAATAGTAATTTTTTTTATTAGATTAGTATTCTAATTATATTAATATACTATTTCTTAATCTAATTCTAATTAGAAATTTTTTTTATAAATTATTATAAATAATTTTGTAATTTTATTTATTGATCATTCAAGTTATTCAATAATATTTTGAGTTTTCTCAATTTTATGGTTGTGTGATGCAATCAAACATTTAAATATGATGTTTAAGTACTTCTTAAATGTGATGTTTAAGAAACCCTAAGTGTGATGTATGTGTTA